GATTCATATTGATGATCTTTAAAGTGACATAGCCATAAGGGAGGGATTTACCAACGTCATAAAAATATTTGAAAAACTTAGCTCTGTAAACAGGGCAGTGTCCATTAGAAAAAGACCCAATTTCCAAGTTAAGAAGATAAGTATCTTTGGTGTCTGGATCAGTGATGGTTTGTCCAAGTCTTGGTTGATTTGAATCCAATGAACCAATTTCTGCAACACTACTTCTTGAAGAACCAACATCTCTTGGTTGATTTGAAGAAGAACCAATTTGGGCATCTACACTTCTTGAAGAACCAATATCTTCTGGTTGTTTTGGAGAAGAACCAATTTCCATTTTAGGACTGAATGGGTTTCTGGAATTCATCTTTTCTTGGAGCAGAAGTTCAGAAGAAGTGGAATTTGGTTTGTGAGGAAGACGAGGAGGAAAAGAAGAAGAAGAACCAATTTCTGTTGGTTGTTTTGAAGAAGAACCAATTTCCATTTTGGGACTGAATGGGTTTCTGGAATCCATCTTTTCTTGGAGCAGAGAATCACAGTTTCAGAAAAAAATGGAATTTGGTTTGTGAAGAAGAAGATGTATTTATAGCTTTGGCCATTTGCCTTTTTTTTTTCTTTTTTTTTCTTTATTTTATTTTATCTGTTTAAGTTTTCCCCTTTTCTTTTTCTTAAATGGCTAAGTATTACATGTCTAATTATGCTTCACAGTTATAGTTTGCATATTTATGGGTTGTAGCTATAGTTTAAGTTGTTTCGTTTGTATAATTCTCGAGTACGTTTGTATAATTGAGCTATTTTTATATAAACTCAAAATGACGAATTTATACAAACACAAACATCTGAACTCTAAACAGTTATACAATTTATATTATAAAAAATTACATTATACAAAAATTATACAATTTATATTATAAAAATTACATTATATAAAAATTATACAAATTTTGAATTATACAAATTCGAAATCCCATCCCACGTGATTATCACTAAATGTTGGTTGGGAGTGGTAATTAACTAAAACTATAACTATAATGACTAATTAACTAGTATATGTTTGCTTAACCATGTAATTTCCCTTATAATTATTCTCTTGCGACTTTCGGGCTTTCATTTTTTGTTTATTACTATATTTGTTTGTATTATTGTTAATTTGTTATAAATAATTGTATAATATTATTATGCTTATATATAATGTAGTTTTTTTTATTGCTTATAATGTATTTTTGTGTACCAATATAATTTTGAATATTAATATCAATAATACAGTAGATGGAATAGCAGAGAGAAAAAGGGAAAAAAAATAGTTCTCAAAAGCCTTATTTCAATTTTTCCTCCAGTAACAAAAGCGTACTTTTTTCCTTCAATACTAAGGAGTTGTTTGGTACAAAGATTAATAATATAGGGATTAGTAATGTATAAATTAATAGTGCAGAAATTAGTAATGCAGATTTATTTTTATCAAGTGTTTGGTTCATTATTTCCCACATCATCTTGTGTTTGGATTAGAACTTTATAAAAGAAACTTCTTTTCAATATACCCTTGAATTATTATGTAATTGGGTTAAGGTAAACAATTGCCGGACAATATTATTTTTTATGCCTTCTAACTAGCTATGAGAAGAACAATTTTGTTGTCATGTTTGCCTTTTTTTTCACTTAAATTATTTGAGGATAAATAATTGTCATCTTAGTAAATTGATCACTTACAAAATGTCAATTTTCAATTTAAAAACGATAAACGATCAACTTTTAAAATTGGAAAGACAGTAAATAATAGTAAAATTGAATAAACCATCTACATTTACACATAAAAATTGCAAGTTTTAGTTTTAATATGTATGCAATTTTATAAATTGTTCAAAATACAAACGTCATGTGGTGATATAGTGCCTTTTTAATTAGTTAATGTTAAACAACTCACATTTCAAATATTGTATTAATTTGTATTGGATTTATTTAGTAACAAACAACTCTCTCTAAATAATTTGTAAGTTAATTTATTTAAATAAATTTACTAGTACAAATATAAAACATAAAATCAAGAAAATAATCAAAATGATTTGAGGGATATTTTTGTCTTAACATAGACTTATCCCATGATATTATATCCGATGTATTACTAATACCTCCAAATGGGAGGTATTAGTAATACATCCTGTATAACTAATCCATTAATTAGTTATACATATGCCCAAATTCCTACCAAGCATAGTACCATACATAATATATAGACTATTTGTTTTAATGCGGCCTACCAAACGACCCCTAATAGTTTTAGTTAACCCAAAATAGGTCTACAGAAAAGTAGCTGCAATGATTAAGTAGCACACACAATATCGTTTACAATAATAAAGTTTCTAGTTTGCTTATTTATTTGACATGTATCACCAATGTGATTGTTCATATAGTTTAATTTTGAAAGGCCAATAACTAGTTTATGTTTAGCAAGTTTCTCACTGGCAGCAGACCGAACATTGTTTTCGGTGTTGGTGTATGTGCAATATTCCAAACCTGTCGAGAAGAATCACACTTGATAGCTGCTGCTAAGTGGATCCTGAGATATTTGAAGAAAACATGGGACTTGGTTTTATTCTATCCATTAGGAGACTGATTTGATGATTTAGATTATGTAGGGTATCAAGTTGATATAAAGAGAACCTTAGGAATGATTCATTTTCTGGGTTGGGGGCTTAAAAAGCAAAAAATTGTTGCTTTTTCAACAGTTGAGACAGAGTATGTAGCAGTTGTGACTTGTTATGCACAATTTAAGACTTTGAAGTGAAGTGGTCAGTCACACTATTCCTCTCTCGTGCGAATATACAAATATGATTAAGAATCCAGTGTAGCATAGATAGAACTAAGCATATTGATTGATGTGAGACATCATTTTCTAAGGGATAATGATGACAAGGTAAACATCAACATGCAATTTTGCAAGATTGAAGATCAAATTGATGATATTCTCACGATGGCTCTAAGTAGGGACCTGTTCAAGAAAATAGATTGAAGTTGGGGAGAGTTACTTGACTATGTCTAGGGAGCAGGTATCCTCGTTTTCGGTAATGTTTGTTTTGGCAAATTTAATTTTGTAGGTATACACACATGGTGAATATATGGAAGGTCAGGATAGACTCAGACAAATTACATTTAAACTATAGAGAGGGACTTGGTCAAGTCTCAAAGATTAGCATTCTTTAAATTGCTTATGAGAATCGTTGTAATCAGTCATCCGGGTTCCTAACCGTTGTCCCATCATTTGAATACCAAAGACCACTACCTTTCAGGGGACCTTTAATTCACCTCCTTTAATACCTCCCCATTCCTTCAATCTCTCCAGAAATTCAAAATTGTTGAGGTTAATGCCAGATTAACCCTCATACTCCAATCCCTCCCTCCTCCAAAAACTCTTATCTCAGTTCCCTAATTTCTCTTGTTGTTGAAACTCAGTGGGCATTGTCCCGGTTCTCTGTGTAATTTTTAATTGCAATATTTGAATAGGCATAATACATAAATATGCCCTTTAACTTGGCTTCAAATCACATTTATGTCCTTCAACTTTGGGTCTGTACAACTAGACACTTAAACTTTGGGTCTGTACAAGTACACATGTAGAACTCATGTGTCTACTTGTTCAATTTTATACAAGTTTCAGTGTCTACTTGTGCATACCCAAAATTGGAGGACATAAACGTAAAATGAGGCCAAGTTAAAGGGCACATTTATGTACTATGCCTTTTGAATACTATGTTCTTTTGTTAATGAATGATATTGGTCTTGTGTTTACTGACGTGTCTCATTACGTTATACAATTTTACTTATGATCAGTGTTACCCAAGCGACCATGAATTTGATTGAACTACATTCTGTCAACCTGGTTTACTATTTTACTTTTTTATGATGTCAAAAAGGGAAAAATTGTTAAGGCTGAGCTCGGTAAGTCATTTTGTTTTGAAAGAACATGGTCATGCTGATAGGGGGAACGAGTGTTGATAAAGGGAAAAAAAGTTGAGTAAGTTTGTCATCATATAAAAGGGGGAAATGTTATTTTGAGCTCATTCTGTAGTTTTGATGATTTAACAAACTATGCGATCTAATAGGGGACTCGATCCCATGAGAGACTAAGAGTTTTGTTACGTGAAAAGGACAGCTGTAAAAAGCTACAACCTGCAACTCTTCAGTAAATAATTTCCAGTATCTGTTCATGATGCAGTATTTGCAAAGTAATTGTATCGCCACAAAATATTGTTTACCGGAACTCGTGCTTATCACTTATCAGAGCTTATAAATACTGTTCTAATTTGAGAAAAAATCCACCAAGAGAAACTATGATCCATACTTTTATTTGGCCAAGAGGATATATATAATATGGAGTTCATTTGGAGGACCTTTAAGTATTAGGTGGGAGGATTTTCTTGGTCATTAATATGATGTCCAAAATTATATTTCAATTGGATCAAGTGAGCAATTTTGAGAGATCATGAAGGCACTTAGTTGCTAATCATGGCAACAACTAGACAGTCGAAGAACAAACCATCTATAAATTGTTGAAATAGGGATTCATTCATTCGAATTCTGGGTATGGGAGCCCTTTGTATGCAGACGAGTCATGTACAAGAAATGTCGATCATATGTACGTGTTATCCCACTAAGTGAGGTTTAGTTTGGAGAAAGCATAACCGTTAATAAGAAAAACATTGTAAGACATAAAAATTTCAAAGTGCAAGATCCTAATAGGAATGTGTTTGATCAAATAGTCTATTATAACTGGAAATCTGTTCATAAAACAGATGCATTATCCACAGAGGATGATCAACTTCATACGAACATACAAATGTTTCATCCAAATAAAGAAACAGAAGGAAGAATCAGACAACAGATCCGCAGAAGTTCCATTTCATGTATATAAACCATATGATCCCAACTAAGAAAACAGCTCATTTCATGCCTAAATGAAAGTAATACACACTATACATATCGATATTTCCTTTTTGATCTTTCACTGCTCAATTATTAGTATTCAACACAAATTGTTTAAACCTTTCAATTTCACTAAAGAATGGAGTTTTCAAAAGCTCCTTGGCAGTTGGCCTGTCGTCTGGATTCTCTCTAAGACAAGCAAGAACCATCTCCTCAAACTCGCGCGAAAACACCCTTTTCTTTCGTTTAGCAAAATCCATCACTTTCTTGAGTTTCTTATCCCTCTTGATCATCATCTTTTTAAGTGATTTTGGAAATTTCTTGTTCACCCTTAACTTGTTAATTATATAATCGAAGTCTGTTCGATTCTTCACAGGTAAATTCCCATACACCAATTCCAGTGCTGTTATTCCCAATAGCCAGATATCAGATTTTGCTCCTCTGTTATCCTCATTTTCACTCTCAAACACCTCTGGTGCAGCACCCCATATAGAAATACTCTTCGGATTCAAAAACGAACTAGCTTCTTCACCATTACAATCTGGGGGTTCGGAATCATAAACAGATGTTTCAAATGCTAACTTGATCGACAAAGCTTTAGTATAATAGTGGATGTTAACAAAGATATCTCCGGCATTCAAACTATTATGAGGCGTCGGTCTGTAGAAAACATGAAGTTCGTCTTGTAGACCAATAAGTACTTCTTTAAGAACAACAGGAATGAGACGTTCTGGCAATTTCTTTTCGGGACGAGTGGAGAGAATATAACGAAGCGATCCCTCAGACATATACGGCAAACAAACGCATAGCAAATTTGCAGTAATGAAAGTTTTCTTGCATCGAATTATGTGGGGATTCTCAAAAAGAGCAATGCGTGTATCACTTTGACTTCGAATCAAGTTGAATTCATTCTCATGGAGGTTCATGTTAATGATCTTCAAAGTAACATGGTCATAAGGGAGGGCTCTGCCAGCCTCATACGTATATTTCGAAAACACAGCTCTGTAAACAGGGCAATTTCCATTAGAAAAAGACCCAATTTTCAAGTTGAGAAGATAAGTATCTTTGGTGTCTGGATCAGTAATGGTTTGTTCAAGTCTTGGTTGATTTAAAGAAGCAGCGAAATCCATTGATATATTGCTTCTATCAGAACCAATTTCTGCAATTATACTTCTTGAAGAACCAATTTTGGCATCTACACTCCTTGAAGAAGAACCAATTTCCATTCTAGGAGTGAATGTATTTCTAGAATTCATCTTTTCTTGGAGCAGAAGTTCAGAAAAAGTGAATTTTGGTTTGTGTGGAAGACGGGGAGAAGAAGAAGATGTATTTATTCCCCCAATATCTTCTGGTTGTTTTGAAGAAGAACCAATTTCCATTCTAGGAGTGAATGGGTTTCTGGAATTCATCTTTTCTTGGAGCAGAGAATCACAGTTTCAGAAAAAAATGGAGTTTGGTTTGTGAAGAAGACGAAATGGAAGAACAAGAAGATGTATTTATAGCTTTGGCCGTTTGGGCCTAATTGGATTTGTATACCGCTCTTTCGTTTTTTGACTTCCGCTATTATGTGTTATTTTTTGTATTTCGATTATCGTTTTAGCGTTTTTTGTATTTCATTTTTTTATTTGTGCTACTTTTTGTTGTTTCTTGTACTTTAATTATCGTATTACAAGTTTTCTATCTTTTTTTTTTTTTTCTTCAATATTTGTTACTATTTGTTGTTTCTTGTACTTTGATTATCGTATTAATTGTAATTATTGTTCAAAATATATAGTTACTTTTCACTTTCATTTCTTCTTTTTTATTTATTTGAATTTTATTTTGAGTCAAGGGTCTATCCGAAACAATTTCTCTATTTTTGAGGTAGGAAGAGGGGTGACTCAAGCACTTTGGGGACCTAAGGTATATAAGTGTCTTATATTTCAATACTAGATAATGTTGCCCGTGCTATGCACGGGCTCAATAATATAAATGGTATATTTTGGGGCTAATAACCGAGTTTTTGAAGCGATTGTTTGCGTGGATAAAGGAATAAGTTTTTTTTATCACAAACCTGTACTTTCTTTGACGCTATTTAAGGCATAATAAGACTATCCACATACAACATTTTTGAAATATTTTATCTTGTCAATTATCATGATTTATAGTATTTTTACGCAATTTTTAAATATAAAAATAAGACAAATGAATTAAAATGGACCCAATATATGTTATTTTTGTTGTCTCAATTTATGTGACACAAATGAAATTTGGAGAGTCATCCAAATTTT